AACTTGCCCGTATTCAGACTTGGAAGGCAAAGATAGAGAGTGCCTGGATCCCATATTGACAAACTCTGGGTTTGACTCAGAGACCATGCCTCAAAGACTGAAGTGAAATAATGATTAAGGAAGATTCACAGCATTGAATAATGTCTTTCTCATCACAAGTATACAGTTCCATAAAAATATATACACACATGTAGAAAGAGAAAGGGAGAGGAAAAGAGAGCAAGGGGGTTGGGGATGGGAGACACTTCATACACATACCCACACATGAAAAAAAAATTGCAAAGAACAAAAAGAGCTCCTATTACTGCTGGGTTCTCATAACTTTGTAATGATATTCCTGCTTATGTATTGAACATATTATAAAAACTAATTATTTGTATTGTGTATCCATATAATTTGGGCCTCCATGTCTAGAAAACCTTAATTAAAATAATTATTCTGGAAGAAATTTAAGTTCATTCTCTCAATAGAAACAAGATAGGAATTACAAAGTAGAAGAAAATTTGTGCATTGCAAAGCATTTTGAACATTTGAGTCACATAATATAATATGTTGATAAATTATTATTCCTTCTAAAATTTATTTCAAAACTTAAGGCTAATTATTTGAAGAAATTGTTCCAGAAGTTTCTGGCAGTTCTAATACCATGTGTTTTGTGCAAGATGGAGCAATAGTGAGACTTAGCATTTACGGGCTCTGCTTGGCAGTCATCTCCAGCTTTGGTGAGGAAGAGTGTTATTTTCTGATATCCTAACTCAGTTGTCCCAGTTTCAAGAGCTCTTCTGTGTGAAATATATGTAAATCAGAGGGGTTATAATAAGAGTATTTAAAATATAAAATAGTTATTCTTGTTCTTGTCCATGTTTTTAGCTGTGGATTTTTTATTTTGTAGTTGAAACTCAAAATAATCATTTGAAGATTTCTTAAATATTAATTTATTTTAGGTTTTTCTTCACCTAAGAAAATTTTCAGATGGCATGCAATAATTATTTTATTTTATTCATTTAAAGTATAATATATATATATATGTATATAGCTTATTCTTAATAAAATAATATATTTTCTATATTAATAATAGTGTCCATTCTTTCTCATGGATTTATACTGATGCTTTTCTACAGTTACACATATATTCTATTCTGGTACATAGATTGAGCCATAGTTCCTCTGCTCCAGGTTTTATCTGTTCACCTCCATATCTCTCTACCATTTTCTACTTTACTATATACCTGGGGAAGTACAATTTATAGATGATATCTTGGTCACTTTTCAATTTCTGTAATAAGACTCTGTGAAAAAGGAAACTTGGAGAAAAAAGATATTATTATAGGTTTAATTTCAGAAGGTAAGCCTATGGCGGGTAGCATGGCAACAGGTGGGCAGGAATACTGCTTGAGGCATAACCACAAGGCAGAGGGAAACTAGAAGAAGAACAGTGAATGGAATGGGCTATTTAAACCTCAAGGCCAACCTCTAGTGACACGTCCTCCAACAAGGCCATACCATCTAACCATTCTCAGACAGTTCACCCAACTGAACACCAATATTCAAATAAATGAGCTACTCCTTCAAACCACTACAGGTGACATCATAGTGTCCTTGTTCTCTTGTTTGTGGTTAATGTACCAATGAAGTTCCCCAGCAAGAGATATAAAATGGGGAAGTTAAAAATCAGTGTTCTTACATTCTTGGATATCTCCATGAAAAGGTGCCTTGGACTGGATGATTTTTCCTCTCATGGTCATAAACTCTGTATAACTCTTTCTGCTAGGTCTGGTAACCAGCCTTGAACATTTTACCTGTGGCCGTATGAGTAGCAAAAAGCCTTAGTTTACATACTCCAGTATTTAGTATACTTTATATGAGTTTTCTTAATCATCCTTACAAAGTGGACTTTTCATCTATTTCAGCCATGCAACCACTCAGACTCAAGTATTTCAGTGGAGGGATAATACTTCTCTTTCTCTGTTTATAGAAACCTTTTACCTATAGGGCATATAGCAAAAGGGGATGTTATAAGGAGATAATGAAGGAGGTCAGGCTTTAAGAAACATACAGTTCTTATCCCACATATAAGTGCCACTTTGTTCTCTAACAAGTTCACAGAGAATCATGTGGCTGTGACCAACTTCACTGAACTAGTCCAAATTGTTGAAAATTGCAAATTTAAAAATAATGAAATGCCAAAAATAGTTTGCCATTATACTATACAAAGTCCTTTCAAAATAGGGTACTTTTATTATAACAATATAGAAACAGAAAATAACACTGTAGAAGAACATCTAGGAAAGAGTGTCTAAAACACATGTGGCTAGAAGCTGATATAGAGATTCATGTACAAAAATTCTTTCATTTAATATGCACTTGTATATGTGAAACTACATCTGTCAAAACAACACTGAAACTACTGTTTAAATAAACTGTAAAATGTCAATTTATTTTGCTTTAATGAATTGATGCATTTAATTCTACTTCTTAAATTTAATTAACTTACAACTTTTATAGTTAAGAAAATAATAAAATCAACTGAAAAGTCAGAAAATATATATTTGAAAATTATACAATATGATAAGTAAGTTTTAGCATCTTATTTACTTTCAGAGACATTCTACCATGTTCATGAGTCACATGAACATCCTGACTAAACAAAATTGACTGTGTGGAGTCACTGCATTTAATCACCATTACAAGAGCATGGATTTGTTAAAAGGCACATGGCCTAGAACCCAAAACCTGATTTGAATTGTTTTTTTGCTAGGAAGTTGAAGTGAGGCTGATTTGGCTTTTATTCCCTCAAAACTATATAACACAGAGTCAGAAAGGGTAAAATTAAAATGCCACGTTTGCATTTTCTTATGTGATCTCTCATTAGAGAATCCTAAGTATCTCGAAACCAATGGTTACTGAGCAAGTTGGCAGCAGCTGGCAGTGTTCCTTCAGGCCCCTTGGGGTAGTGCCAGAGGAACAGAGTCTCTAGCAATTTGGGGCTGGATTCTCATCCAAATGAACACCTGCTGTTATTGTCCAGTATCAATCCTGCACTCAACAAGGCCAGCTCTCTTTGTGGTGGAATCCATTCAAAGGGAAAAAGCCTGCTAGTGTTCTACACTCATTCTTATTTCCCTCTCCTTTTACTAAGTGGTCAATTGCTTGAGTATCTTGGAGATAGAGATAATACTCAGTTTATCTTTGACTAGTTGGCATGATAATGTTCTATATTAGGAGTTTACTCAATTATGTTCTCTTCTTATTTATCTTTCTCTACCAAGCTTAAGTTGCTTTTCAAAGACAAGATTTTTATTGCAAAAGTATGTACTTTAAAGTAAATCACTCTACACAATTTGCAAGTGGAACAAAACATATAATTCAAGTAAAAATAAATTCAATGCTCTTCTCCCAATGGGTCAGAAGTATTGGCCCATTGACTCTATTAGTCTTTGATTCCCATTCTTTTGCTTTTGTGTAAATGTTTGCTAGGTTTTTGCTGTTGGTACTCCAAGATCATTTTACATTAAAAAATAATAAAGTTAAGACAAATGCTTTTAAAAACAACTATGAATCAAGGTGCATATGTACCGCAGATAGCCCAGTTTAAATTTCCATATAACTTTGTAACACTGTAAGATAAATGTATAACCTAAAAGTTACTAAGACTTATTAGTATTTATAAAAATTACTACAAAATATACAAACTTTTAACCAAAAAAATGAACTATGTGAACAATGTTTTATTTTCATTTTAAAATTATGTGTTAGTAAATAAATCCATGGAGAATATTCTGATTAAATTTTATTGTAAATGCTGTTTCTATGCTCTTCTGTGTACACTTTTGAACCCTTTTCCTTGCAAAATAACTCAGTTACTTGTCAATTGCTAGAGTGTAAAATGTAAATAGCTGCAGCTTGCTCCTTGGTCAGAAAGAGCTGCCATCTGCAGCCCTTGGTCCCTCTTGTTGGGCTTTGTGTTTTGTTATGCATGAGCAAACACATTAGCCTTTTTATTTCATTCATTAGACTTTTAATCCTTGATTAGTGTTTTTAAGATTTCTCAAATACACGACTTCTTTACTTCTGTTGTATTAGTTTTCTTTTCCTTTTGACTTCACTCTGAAGCAAACTTAAAATTCAGTCACAAAAGGCCTTTTCTATTAAGAAGATTAGCAAATATATTAGTTTCTCATTTTCATGATTAAGTATGTGTAGCATAAGAATGGCAAAATATCTTCTCACTTGGAATAATAGGGACAACTGTTTGATACTGGTTTAAACGGTCTGTACTCCAAAAGCTTGGGTCATAGCCATCCAACAATCTTACACATCCAATGTAACTCTTGTATTAAAGAGAAACTCCAAGTAGACTACCAAATTAGGTTTCAGAACTGTTATATTTAACATCTGAGAGAAAAGTTATTATTGTCACCATTTCTTTGTGACTTTCTCTTCGTTGGATTTCTCCATTACAGGAGGTGGGTCAAAAAGCTGTGTTTGTTTTGAACAGTTATTAATTGCTCATCTGGAGCATGCTGAAAAAACTCTGAAACCAAAGATTGCACTGCCTCATTAGGGTCACCAGCCTCTTATGTTTTTTTTTTTTTTTCCCAACAAAGGAGCAGGAACTTCCTCACTACTTGATCATTTCCTTCCCACTTAAGTCATCATTTTTACTCTTATTTAGAAATGATTTCAACTACTCTTTGACCTTATGACAAAAATGTACTGTGGTAAGTAGAATCTAAACATGGAACCAAAACCAGGAATTAAAAGATATACAAATTAAATAAAAAGTGATTTTTATCTAAATCTAACAAATGACTAGTTTTGACAGGTTTCTATAGTCATACTTTTCTAGACTTCCCATGGATTGTACATCATTCACTATTTTCAGACTATCTTTTTGTCAACAACATTGTAAAACTGAATTGATGGGAAAGGCTTGTTTATTAATGTATAGTTCTACAAGATAACAAAATCACACCTCTCCCCTCTATTTCTTCTCTTAGGATGCTTCCATTGCACACAGATTCCATATCATGAGAGAAAAGCACCCAGAGAAATTCAACAGCCGGTAAGGCAAAAATTAATGGATTTTTAATTATGATTGCTATTGGTAACTGCATCAATATAGAAGATCACTACATAGAATACACCCTTATTATGTAAGGACTGATTAAAAGTTCAGTTTCGGTGGTCATATTAAGGTGACTGTATAACTGAATGTGTTGTTCTTCTTTGCTTAAAACGAGATTCCAGTGCAGAGTGCAGTGGGCATCATGCCTATTTCAATTTCATGTGCTTTAAAGTAAGTGTTTCAAGTATAAGTTGAAAGTAACAGTTAATAACACACACTAGAGGCCTATGCATGGCTTGGTATGTGAGGGTGATTATTCTTCATCTCAAGGGAAAACATGGAGTTCTGATTTGATAATTTTGAGCCATCATATTTACACAGGTATCTCAGGTCACTGTCCTTTGAATGACTATCCCATATTAGCTTCAAGTAAAACCCAGTAAAAAATGCTGCTCCAAAAATATTAACAGAAGCAATATAGACAGAGACCTTAGTCCTTACTCAGGGAAACAGGAGAAGTTTGGTTGCATAGTGAAAAATGCCTGAACCCTAGAAAAATGGGGAAAAGTGGTAAATTGCCTTTTCATTGTTCTCTCTTTTCCCCTGGTATTTCACAAAGTGAGAAGACCATAGTCTGTATGTGGATGTAGACATTATATGACTTTATATACTGGTATTCAAAGCCCTAAACTCTGTTTTCTCTATTGGCTGAGCTGATACGTGGCCATGAATATTGCATGTGATCTCATAAATACCACTGTCTATGCTAATTTCACCATATCTTAATGTTAGACAGAATCTTCTTACATGTAACGAAATTTATAAACTTAAGTGCTATAAAATATATTTCCAAAGTTATGTCTTTCTAAACTGTAGATTTAAGGGTATAATTTATTGAATAATCTTTATATGGAATAATTTTAATAAAAGTCTCATGATTAGTCATGTCCTATCTAATTTTAATAGATTCATTTAAATATTTTTGTGAAACAAAAGCTGCTAATACCTCTAGTGCCTTGATTTGTTTCATAAACTACAAATAGTAGATGACTATATAGCTTTCTGATCTAAGAGACAAGAAAGAACATGTTATAAGCTCAAAATTTATTATTCTCTTTCACTGTGGTAGCTACATGCCTATCTGGTTTTGGTGCTAAGAAAATGCTAGCTTTGTAAATGAGTTGATATTGATCCTTCCAAATTTGGATGAACAGTTTGAGGAGTATTGGTATGCGAACTTCCTGAAGTTTTAGAATAATTCTGCAGTGCATTCATATGGCCTTGGGGGTTCTTTCTGAGACACTTTTATTACTGCCTCAATCTCATTGCTTATTATGGATCTCTTCAAGTATTTATATCTCTTTGATTTAATTTTGGTTAAGTCATATGTGTCTGGAAATTTATTCATTTCTTCTAAATTTTTAAAATTATGAATATAGGTTTTTTTAAGTATCTTATACTTAAAAGATCTAAATGACTCTATCAGAAAATTTAGATCTAATAAAGTAACAGGATACAAAACCAAGTACAGAAACCTACAGGTTTTTAAGTACCAATAATTAGTAATTCAAAAAAATCATAGGGGAAAATAGCATTCATGGTGGCCTGAAAATAAACATATAAATCTCTAGGCAAAAGCTCTAACTGATGAAAGCAAATGTCTTCTACACACTGGAGAGAGAAAATGAGAAATCACTAGATGGTTAAAGACCTTCCATGTCCATGGCTTGGAAAAACATCAATATTTTAAAAGTATATATAGAACAGATTAAATGAAATCTCCATAAAAATGACAAGGCCGTTTCTCCATAATCATGAGAAACAATCCTAAATTTCATATTACAGCATATAAGATCTCAACCTGATAAAACAATCCTGAGAAGAAACAGCAATGGCAGAGGTACTACAATATCTGATAATCCTATATAGGTATAGTTACAAAACCATCACAAGAAGGCAAATTCACAAATAAAGGATAGAAAACAAACCAAAAACAAATAAATATAAAAGAAAAATAGGAACTCACAGAGTTTGAACCAACAACAAGGGGGCCTGAATGTGGCCTACCTGGACCCTCTAAATATGTGACAGTTGTGTGACTTGTTCTACTTGTGGGATTCCTAACAACAGGATCAGAGGCTATCCTTAATGCTTTGCCAGGCTCTTGGGAGGATATTTTTCAGATAGATTGTCTTGCCCCATCTTAACACAAGGGGAGGTTGTTAGTCTTACTGGAACTTGATATGCCATACTTTGTTGACACCCATGGAAGACCTGTCCCTTTCTGAACAGAAACAGAAGTGTATGGGGAGAGAAGGAAAAATGGGAAGAGAAATATAGTAGGGATTTAAATAAATAAATTAAACAAAAAAGGTGAATATTTTTAAAAACTGGTAAAACAAAATAGTTATAGCCTCCTAACTTTTGACAAAAGAGTCAAAAATGTTTATTGGAACAAGGAGTCTTTAGCAAAAGTTACTGGCAAAACTGGACTTCCTTCCAAAGTATAGTAATGCTAGCTCATGTCTCCCAGTCTGTCATCAGGTAAAAATGGCTGTAATTGAATAAACCAAGGATACAAGATGCAGGAAAAGATGTAGGGAAAGACGAACTATTATTATTTTCACTGCTGATGAACATATAAACTAGAACAAGCACTATGGAAATTGTTATGAATTTTCTTCACAAATCTAAAATTACAGTTGCCATATGACTCAGCTGTACCATTTTTGAGCATATAGCATGAAACGTCTGTGTTAACATACCATGGACATACTTGCACATGTCTGTTTATTGCTGAGTTGTTCTCAATGGCTAAGAAAGTAATTTGGTCTGGATGAGTGTCAAGACATATATTGATAAAGATGTTACGATGCATATATACAATAAAAGTCTTTTCAGACATAAAGAAAACTAATGTATGATTTTTCAGAAAAAAATTTTATAACTAGAGATCCTTATGTTAAGCAAAGTAGGTCAAAGTCAGAAAGACAAATGTTGTGTTTTTTCTCGTACAAGGAAGATTCTGAATTTTGTCACTAGAATTACAATATGCTATCCATTGCGCCACAGAGCCACATAGAAGATTCTGAATTTAAATGGTATGTATATGTATACAGAACAGATGGATAAATACAAAAAAAAATGGCATATATGTATGAAGAAGCCATTATGAAACTATTCTTTATGTGCTGATTTTAAAACAATAAATAAAATAAAGTGAAACTAAATTTACTCTGGATTTTGTCACTTGATAATAAACCTCGCATATTCTGAAAACAAAATTAGTAGTTACTGTATGTAAAACTACTTTATAAGACAGAATATATTTTCTCAAATGTCATTCCAAGAGCATTCAAGAGGTTATAACGATATATTAAAAGAAGGATAAGGCCCAAAAAACTTCCTTTGAAGATGTACCATGCACTGCATTCCATTCAATGCTCTGTGCATTAAAAACCCATTAAAAGATTAGAAATACATCAGAATGGGGAATAGCATTATTTAAGACATTAACTCCACAGTTATATTTAGGAAGGAGAAAACCAGAAAGACAGTGTGTCAGAATATTGAATATGTAGAGTAACATCAAAGTGTTTATATTGCAATCAAATTTGATAGCATGTAGATAAGACTGCAAACATTTATGATTCCCCCTTCAAGTTTCAGAGGATAATGAATTCCTTCTAGAAAGATAATTTTATTCTTCTTAATAATAATGGCTTATATTACTTGTTTGTCTTTTAATTTTTATTCCAAATACAGCTAAATATTTATGACATCTTCATTGCTAATATATGGTTAGATACTGCTTGCATGTTTGAATACCCTGATGGTATTTTCAGATAAGAAACTTTATGGAAACCTCTTTGGAAATTTGTGGCATGAATAATCTTGTTTATAAATAGGCTCTACTGGTTAATTTACTTGAAAATAATATGGTAATATTATCTGTAATTGCATAAGTATACCCATTATTATGATTTCAAAGAATTTTTATGATGAATTCAAAGAATTTTTATGATGAGTTCAAAAGAATACTTGTGTTATTGAACATTCTCTGTGATATGACAGCTGGATTTCCTCTGGCCTGAAACAGGTCTAGACCCCTGGGCAGATACTATTTGTGGTTGATTCCAGACTGAAATGAAACTGAAAAAAAATGGACGGACCCAAAACAGATGTTGCTCTTGACTACCTTGATAGGAACTCTACAGATGCACAGGGTCTATGTGGTCTTTCTCCCCTTCTAATGTGCTTGGGTGGCATACTTGAAAGACATCTATCTGGTATGACATCTAAGGTATATGTATGGCCAATGGTACATGAGAACTGACTATATGAGACATTATATCCACCTGAATCCTTCCTGTTTCTAACCAACTATTCACTCCAGTAGAATTTGGGTTATAGACAGAAAAATTTAGAGGCAGAGATTAACCCCAAATGAAAGTTTAGAACCTGTGCCAAGAGTCCTCACAGATATTCAACCACTTCCTGAATGCTCTCCCTTCCAAGAGACTTCTGCTTTTATTTCTGCTTACCCATAAGAGGAAAGGAAGCAGAGTATAGACAGACCAAGTATTTTGTTTAAGAGTTCTAGTTCAAACACTAAGAACAAAAATGAGGAGGATGAAGAAGGTGGATGACTGTTTCATATTATTCCTAGCTTTACAAACTTTAACTCTCAAATCATTTAGCCATTTTTATACACTACATAATTGTGTGGTTTTCATTTTATTCTTCCTTAGCATCTACAACCATGCTACATTTCTTTCTAGACATGCTAGACTTATTTTGACCACTATAACTTGTTTCCTCTAATGGTAAATGTGAAAAAAGATAGTGAACTGTGTTTAGCCCATCACACATACCACAGCAGATTACTTCTGGAGTTTATTTATCACATGTTCAAGTTCCTTCTCCTCCAACAATGCTCAGATTTGGATACAGTGCTCCATCAAAGGGCATGGAATCTTGCTCACTAATAGCTGCTA